GGGAGGGGAAGACAGGAAGGAAGGATAGAAAGGGAGGGGGGAATACTGGGGGTGGGCACTCATTGCTGCTCATCAGTGGCAGCCTCGTTCACTGTTTGTTGGCAGTGGTGGGGGGGTTGTGTCTGTCTGTGGGTGCTTGTTGTCCGCGGGCGCTCATCGTTCGTGCATGGGGGGTTGTCATTGTATGTGCATGGGCATCGTCATAGATGGGGGGCTCATTGTTGTCTGTGTGCGCTCGTGGGTGGTTGTTGTCCGTGGGCACTCGTTGTTCGTGGGTACGGGGTTGTCGTTGTCCGTGGGTGGGTGGGGTTGTCATTGTTGTCCATGGGCGCTCGTCGTTTGTGGGTGGTGGCAGAAGGGGTGGTGGTGTGGTTGTGGTCACTTGTTGTGGGGTCCCGTTCATTGTCGAAAAAGTCGCTGTCGACGTGGCATGGGCATGCCATGTCAGCAGTTTGGTGGTGGCGCCATTTGTTGGGCACCACCGCCATTTCCGTTCTTCACTGTTGCAGTCGGCATCGGTGGGTGGGCTGTCGTGGTGGTGTGTGGTGATGGTGGGGTTGTCATCCCTCGTCGTGGGGTCGTGGGCATTCGTCGTCAAGAAAATCACCATTGATGCAGCACACCCAGATGGGTGTGCCACGTCAGCCATTTGGTGGTGACACCATTTGTTGGGCACCACCACCGTTGTTGTTGTTGTTGTCAATGTCGATGTCATGGTTGTCATTGTTGTTGTCTGTTGTGGCCATTGTTGTTGTTGTAGGCCCCATGATGCCAACCAGCTCAATTTAATATGTATTTCCATGAGCTGGCCTATCCCTGCACCCGATTTAAGGGTTTTTCAGTTCAGGGACATGACCCTCTGGTATATCACATTGGCTCATAAAATTAAATCTTTCTGTTATATCATTCAAACTCATGTAATGTGGATAATATTGCAGGTAAGAACATTTACATGAGATGTAGTACACTAGAGTAGCAAAAAAGGACTTTTAAAACTAAGTCTGGCCTTCCGGTTCCTAGATTTGATGGGATCTTAGAGAGCACACCACAACATATGTGGGAGCATGCAGGAGTCAGGCAAGAGGAGGAAGACTGCATGGAGAGGCTTGAGCACAAGGCATGGGTGGTGTGGACCACGTGGAGAGGTTTGAGCACTAGGCGGGGATGGTGGGTGCTGGGATGGTGAGGCAGTTTAAGGTGCTGTTGGTGACTGTTGATGAAAGGGACATGTGAAAGCATGAGGGAAACGATGGGTGTAGAAAGTGAGCGTGGGTGTGGGTAGCCCTGGTGGTGGTAAAGCACTGTTGTGCGTGCAGAAAACCTAAATCATTGAAAGTATATATATAATATCAGTGTATACATTGTATCATTGAATTTTAAGACATACCTTATAGATCCCCTGCTTCATGGGCCTTCTCTTATGTCCCAGCTAATCCCCACTGCGTGATGCATTGTGGTGCATATTTTCCATCAATGCGTCTTTGTTTTGAACTTTGTGAATAATGCCCAAGCACACAAGCACAATGGCCTCTTGAAGGCGAGAACATGATGGGAGTGGAGCTCCATGTGTTGTAGTGTCAAGTGCATGGTGTAGTCACACCGTAGTGTCAAGTGTGTTGTGTAGTGCCAAGTGCATTGCATAATGTTGAGCACGTTGCATAGTGTCCAGCGTGTTGCGTAGTGTCCAGCGTGTTGCATAGTGTCCAGCGTGTTGCGTAGTGTCCAGCGTGTTGTGTAGTGTCCAGCGTGTAGCCTGGTGTTGCCTGGAAGGGTTGGCAACAGAAAAGAGGGGGCGAGAGAGATGGAGGCGAGAGGAAAGGGATGGAAGTCAGGGTAGAAGGTCTGGAGGAAGATGATTTCTCACAGAAAACAGAATCCGCTGATGGATGCAATTTATCCAATTTAACATTCAGTCCCTTAAATTGAGGGAAATAATTGTGCTTATGTAAATAGTAGTATGGGATCAATTCTAGTTGGATGTCACTTTGAACTAAGGCTACAATCAACCCAATTGAAACTAGAGGAGAGTACTTCCATGCTTACAAAGCTACTTCTTTCAAGGCTGAGCCGCTTTCCAATCGACTGCCAGTTGGTGGAGGCTCTCCTTGTCGTGGCCTATATATGCATGCCATATATTTGTTGGCCTATTCATGTCCAGATTGATTGATTGTATAATTTTCCTGTCCACGTCCCTGAAGATGACGCCCAGGTGGAAGGGCTCAGTGGCCACTGTGCCACCGACATGGCCTGGATCTCTGTGGGGAATGTATGTCAGCAGAGAAACAGAGGCTAGGCCCATGACTAACAGGATCTCAGCATACTCAGCATCAGCAATGCCTCCAGCATCCTCAGCCCATGCCCCCAACCCTCCCCCCTCGAGGTACTCATTGACGACCATGCCAGCCTTGCTGGTGCAGAGATTTGCAGCGACAGTGGCATGGATATGACTCATTATCAGTTGACTGGGGCAAAGGACCCAAATGCTGTCTCCTTTTATACCTTATCCACGCATGACTGTCAACTGCCTTGAGGAGACTGGGACTCTAGTAGGGGTTGTGTTGTGCAATCAAAGCCCCATCATTCACTGATGATTGCAAAACAATAGGCCCATTGCAACGACCGCTGATCCAGCTCCCTGCTGGTTTCGCATACTATAATGCTGCAGAAAATAATGAGCACATGGCCTCGGGCGAGAGGACCTCCTTTCAGGACCTAAAACCTTGGCTTAGCATGGGAACAGTCACTTCTCTACCTCAACAGGTAAGTTTGGCATCCTGACGCATGCCCCTATGATCATCCCCGGGATTGTCGCTAATCAGCAGGTCACAATTTCATTGCAATTCCCCTCTTCTGAAAGTGATATGCACCGTCAGGCGCATCGCACAGCATAGAAGATAAGTAAGGTCTAAGTTTTGCTTCACTTGACAGTTGATGGATTCTTTCCTTGGTTAAGTATAATCATGAGATCCTGTGAGCTTTGGGTTGGCCACAAGAATATATCGGACAGTTTTGAGGTCACTGGCAAGCAGTGCTCGCCTGTGTTATGGTGTTCTATAAATATTTGGAATGCATTGAATGTCGCAAATTATACCATAGGTGATGACGAGAATACTTAGCAGTAGAGGGATTAGAAGAATAAAATAGTACCTCAGATGCTGGGATAGCAAACCCACATAGCGTGGTACCAGCCTTGTGAGTGGGGAGGTGTGATGTGATTAATTCTTTGCTGGAAAGTGACCTCTGTTGCAAAATAAATGGGCTTGGGTTGAAGGTGGTCTCATGCACTCATTGCAAGTTGCGTGTCAGACAAGGAACCATGAGGTTTCCTTGACGATGGATGACTGGATTCTGGATCCTACAGATTCCTACTCCTGTCCTACTCCATCACATTCTTTATTTGGGATTTGTTGACCTCTCTCCTCACAACGATAAGTAAGGTAGGACTCAGACCACCTTTTACATGCATCTTTGTCCCTTGCTTCTGAAGGTGCAGAGTTGCCTCTTGTAGAAACGGTTCGCGGGCTTTCACACGAGGTCTTTATTGTCCCCCACTGATTCCTGCAGGATTCCTGAGAATTCCTGAGGATTCTTGCACAGTCCCAGGACTGAGTATTGGCTGATGTACCAGCCAATTTTTTCAGTCCTGTGGGGGTCCATTCCTGAGGACTGAAGACAGTCCTGAGGATTTTCAGACAGGACTACAGTTGTGGACAATCAAACCCCACTTATTTTTGTGCCCCCTTTTTGTGACTGCCAAACTGAGTCCAGAGCCTTGGTAGAGTGAAAATATGCTATCATTGAATATTAGAAGAATATTCACACCAGCCATGAGGCGGTATGGGCAGTTTCAAGAATTTCAGCCCACAATTTTGGCGCGCCCACTAAAAATTTGTTAAAAATATGGAAAAATATTCAATGGACTCTGTTTTGAGTGCTGATTACAGTCCAGTACATAGTTATAAAAAATATCCACTAGATGTGACCAATTGAGATCCACAATTTTATGGGAATTCACAGAAAATGACAACGGCATCATGAGACGAACTGTCTTGGAGGACAATAAGTGCCCATTTTTAACAAAGTTTCTAATCCTATTGAAATAATGACTCTTCATAACCCATTTTTTTTACCACTTCTCATGTGTCATGACAGTACTGGAGTTGGTGCAAATACTGATACCAAGAACACACAAAAAAAAACTTCAAAATGGCAAAAGAGAGAGTAATCAATGTCCTGGGAGACAGTGATCGAGTGTGCTGGGTAATAATTAGATACCATATGGCATATAGAAATTGTCCAAAATTTTGGTGCAACCAAAAATCACATGTAAAAAACCTGGAAAATTCATTTTCTGATGTTTTCAAGCTCTAGGAGTCCAAATATGAGGTTAGTTTTGTGCCAAAATACTCAAGTCATGAGTTATAAAACAAGCGGGGTTTGATTGTCTGTGACTGTAGTCCCAGGATTGATGCATGTGACTCATCACATGACCCACAAACATGTGCTTGGAATGCATCCTGTGCACATGTTTGTTGATGATGGTTCTCATATGTGACACATCACCTCACCTCTCTCTTTCATCACCACCCACCACCACTCGCCCACGACTGTTAGAGTCTGCGACTCTGTGTTGGTGTATTCCTATGAATACAAAGATTTAGTAATGAATTCCAATTCAGTTATACCTATAGAAATCATTAGCAGAGTCAAATGTGTAGAGGTGTGTTAAGCTGTTGAGAGCAGGAAAGTTTCTTAGAGTGTAGAGAGTCTTAGTTGCTAGACTGTCGAGTCAGTCGTTGATCAAAACATTAGTGCGTAGCTTTAACGTGTTGATCAGAGTTTACTAATAGTGCAAAGCTTTACTAGTTCACTCTTGGAATGACACTTAGTCTTGGGACTTAAGTCAGGTCTGGTTTGGGGTAAAAGTAAGAATGAATTCCCACTTGATACATTCATGACTACTTAAATACTACATGATACTATGAAGGAGAAGCTAGAATGTTCTACTATGTGCTACCTTATTCCTTACTGTTACTCATTAAAGGAAAGTCCAAACAAGGACTTGTTTGGTTCCAACAGTCTCGGTAACAATGAGAGAATCTGTCTGGTTTCCCTTGTAATCCAAACAATGCACATAGTGAAAACACAAGCTGTATTGCGTACAAGTGCGAGCGCATATGTAATACAACTATTTGACCATAGTGAAATGAATACAACTAAACTGAAGGTTTAGTTAGATGATACAAGATGAGAAAGAAATAATGTCGACAGTGATTAGGAATTGAGAATGAAAGGGCAAGAACAGAGTAGTGTACTTAAATCCACTAAATTGAACTTGATTTAAGCTAAATCCATGACACATAAGCACAATTATTTCCCTCGATTTAAGGGACTGAATGTTAAATTCAATAAATTGTGCCCATCAGCGGATTCCGTTTTCCATGAGAAATCATTTTCTTTTAGCTCTCCTACTCTGACTTCCATCCCTTGCCTCTCTCACCTCCGTCTCTCAACCCCTCTTTTCTATGGCCAACCCCCTCCAGGCGATGCACTCAACACTACGCCATGTGGAACTTGGCTTCCATCATGTTCTTGCTTTCAAGAGGCCATTGCATTCTCACTTTCAAGAGGCCATTGTGTTCACGTGCTCGAGCATCATTGCCTGACAACGCGAAGTGCAAACAAAGACATGTTGGAATGGTAAAAGATGCACCACAACAGACATTGGGCTGTGGGGATTAGCTGGAACATAAGAGAAGGCCCGTGAAGTGGGGGATCTACAAGGTACGTCTGAAAATTCATAATACAATTCATTCACTGATATTCATGTACTTTATGATTTAGATCATCTGCATGCACAACCACCACCAGCGCTACCATCACCCACACTCACTCTCCACACCCATCATTTCCTGCACTTTTCTGTGTCTCTCCCATTTACACTCACCATTCAACTTCATTGCAACGTCGCCTCACAGCAACATTGTCCCGACTCTACCATGCCTCAACCAACACCCGATGCGACATTTGTAGCCCATCTGACCTCCACACACAACCCATTTTCCAAACCCATCTCCAGCCATTCCCCTTCCATCATCGCACGCACATTGCCACATTTTCAAATGTCCCCTTCTTTGAAGTGTGCGGCAGCCGAAACTATCTACCATGCACCATCCCCGCCTCGCATTTAAACCTCCCCTCCCAGTCCTCCTCCTCCCATCTCACTCTTGTGCTCTCCCAAGTATGTTGTGGCACACTCTCGAAGATCCTGTCAATTCTGGGAACTGGAAGCCCAGCTTTAGTATTTGGGAGTCTCTTTTTGCTACCCTAGTACACTACTACATCTCATGTAAATATTTGTACCTACAATATTATCTGCATTACATGAATTTAAGGCTTAATGACAGAAGAGAAATATTTATGAGCAATGTGATATAGCAGAAGTAGGTCCCTGAGCCCAAAGACCCTTAAATCGGGTGCAGGGATAGGCCAGCTCATGGAAATGCATGTTAAATTGAGCTGGTTGGCATCACAGGGCCTTAAATCCACTAAATTGAACTTGATTTAACCTAAATCCATCGCACATAAGCACTTATGGTGACTTATGTGTGCTTATCTGACTTATTTTCAGTCCCTTGCAGCAAACCACCATCCAAATTTCCCACTGAAGAGCAAAAAAAGTGATAAACATGTAGTGGAAGGTGCATCAGAGACACTCTGCCAATTTTGTATTTCTACCAAAAGATTGACGGTGCCCCAGGCCCTAATCAAGGACACGCCATGAGGACCATTTGGGACAAGGCTGCTTGTTTGCTTGGGGGAAGGCCAGGACTGGGAAAAAAATTGCATTTTTACATACAGTAAATACAAAATGGTTGACCACAAGCAGAATTTCGGGAGGGGATGAAGTGGCAGGGGAGGACAAGAAAAGAGGGAGAACAACGCGATGTGCCAGGTCATGTGGTCACGTGCTTCTTCCCAAAGCAGTAGGGATCCGGGAGATCCTGTTAAATTGGCCCACATAAGCTTGTCAATTTATGTACTGAAATGAAGTTGAAATGTTTTCAGTTTGATGCAATCTTACATAAATAATATTGTGGAAGCCGAGGGCAACTTTCTTTCCATTTGTTGATTACAAGCACCCGACCCGTTTCTAAGCTGCCTACTTTCCGGCATGGCCCGCATGGGTAATCAATAGTGTTTAAAGGTTCAGTCCATAGGACTGCAAAAAACCGGTGGACCAAACTGAACCGGACCATGGTCCGGTCTTTTTTTCGGTTGCAGTTGCCCCAATTTGGGGTTGGTCCGGTTGCCAGTTGCCTCATTTCGAAAATATATTAAAACTGTTCAAAGACCGGTTTTGATCGGTTGCAACCGGTTAAACGGTCATGTGCGTTACATACCCTTGTAACCACGTTTATTACCTTTTATTGGGTTTTTGTTTCATCAAAAACGGTTAAGAATTGAGAAAGATATAACCAAATCCATATTTCACCCAAGTCTCTACGAGATGTAATTCGGTTTCAGTCATAGCTATGTCAAATCTTCATTAAATCTCTTCAAAATTGGTAGAATGACGGGTATTTACATGCTTTACTATTTCATATAACCCGTTTATTTTTCAGAGTAATAATAGTCAAGATACAAATGGTTTATATTGGTATAATAAATTATACCCAAAAAAACCAGTCTGGATCGGTCTGAACCAGCTCCATAGACTGAAAAAGACCGGTCCTAGGTGGTTCGGTTCGGTTCCCTCAATATCTGGGTCGGTCCTAGACTGGTTGCGGTCCACAGTTGCGCGTTTTGGGGGCAAAAAACCGGACTGAACTGAACTTGCGAACACTAGTAATCATGCTGAAGTCGAAGTAGACACAAGCATTAGAAGTTTTGAGGTGCCCTTCCATTTTCCTCCCTCGTTGTCTTACTATACTAATATTAGCAAACTCGATAGTGATCTTCAAAAATTCGCATCAGCTGCAATGTTTTTGTTTATGCACAATACTTGTTTGCAGGCCAGTCTCACACCCTTTTTAGCAAAGTATTAACAAGGCCATCGGTGCTTTCAATAGTTTTATATCCTCAGTGATCGTCACCTTGAAGGATGTCGCACACGTTGCGACAAAATCATTGCTGACTTGATTAGCGCGCAAACACCTGAACACAGCAGGGTCATCGTAGATGATTTTATTGAACAGATCAACCTTCATTGCCTTTTGACTGGAACCGGCAATGGACTCGACAAGAGCCTTCAATTGGACAGGTAAAAATGTCCTGGACATGAAGACCAAAGTCAATGTTGGATTATAGTAGAATACAAAGGTGGTAGACATGACAGAAAAGGGCATCTAGTATATAAGCAACTGTCAAGTCAATGGAAATTGGTTTCCATACGAAAACTACTCACAATCATTGAATGGAAACAAACCACCCCGGTTCTTCTTTGAACCCGTCCTTAGCCAGAATATCCTTCAATTGCTCCAGTTGGTCACCATTTGGGATGAGACTAGCGTCACAACAAAGGCACTTGTCGTAGATGCAATATTGGCGTTGATTGCATTTTGATTGAAACCGACAATGGACTTGACAAGATGGTTCAGCGCATAGCCCAGATACTGCAGAAAACCCGTAGACATAGTAAATATGATGAAATATGCCAGATAGATATGACATCCAATCACAAAGAGTGGGTCAAGATCAAGGTTGCAGTTGAAGTGACTATAGAGAGTGTCGGTCGTGATTGGGCGTTGAACGTCGGAGAGGTGGCCAAAGGTCTTCACATGTCTGGATCCTGTCCTTTCTCGAGACTTTGGACCGTGGTCTGACAATGGGAAAGGTAAAACGGCTAAACATGATGACCAGAGTGTATGTTAAATCATAGTAAAATACAAGGACAGCGGACACGACAAAGAATGACATCTAGTATATCAATCAACTGCTAAGTCATTGGGAATTGGTTCAAGCACAAAAACTACTCACAATCAGTGAGTGGAAACAAACCACCCAGGTTCTTCTTTCAACCCGTCCTTAGCCAGAGTCTCCTTCAATTGCTCAAGTTGGTCACCATTTGGGATGAGACTAGTGTCACGACAAAGGCACTTGCCAAAATGCATGACAAGCTTTTGCTTCTTGTTGACATAAGCCCATGAGAAGTGTATCTTGCGGTACCCTGACCATATCTCACCCCATTGCTCTTTGAGGTAGTCTAACATGACCATAATCCGCTTAACTGCGAGGCTACATGCATTGTCATCCCAGTCAGAGTCAGATGGAAGAGGCGAGTCCTTGTTGAAGCAGTTGTATATCACCGCCATGTTGAGAGGGAATCCATACACAACAGAGTTGGGCTCAGAGTCGCAGGAAGGTCAAGGGGGTGCCGGCATTGAAAAAAAAGACCTGGGGTTGAATTTTTTTTAAAGGCGACTTGAGATGGACTAACTAACTAACGTAATCAGGAACATGTCTATATATAGTAATATGACATCATTTGTGAGTGCTTCCCCTGTGTCTTGCACAAGTCATGCAGGCAAAATTCCGGGGTGCTTGCACATGTTCCACACATTTTAGATGGAACTAGGCAAATAATGTGAGTTGGAAAATCACTCAGTTCTCATAATACAATGTACTTACCCAGTGTGTCTTGCACACCTTGTTTGCATATGAGGATTTGATGAGGATACACAGCTACCACAGATTGTGAAGCCCTCCACATCAAGGGCAGGTGGCTCCGTCTCAATGGTGTGATACATAGAATGTGTGAAACCAATGTTAGACATACTGTAGATTTTAGGATATTGTTGGTCAACGGTAATTCAAGTAATGTCAAAAAAATGCCCAAATATGGCAGGAATCAATGAATATCTTATATCACGGTGCTTGATGGCCTCTATTGGAGCTGTATTCCTCCCAGTACATTCTGTAATTACCATATTATGCTGCAAGGTACTCAACTTGATGATTGAAGGCCTTCTGCCCAAGGCATCCTTTTTTTTTTTTCACAGCCTGCGGCTGGACTAACTAACCGGGTCCCAGTACGGGATTCCCGGGCCGGCACCCCCTTGAGGAAGGTCTTGCAACGTGAGCACGCTGAGCAGGCAAAAGTTTGTCCATAGTTGCTGTGCATTCGCCAGTTACAATCGAAAAAACGGGTGGTATTTCATTCTGCTGCATTGAAAAGGAGTGGGGAGGACAAGTCTTAGTACTGTCCCATTTCATTTAATTCGCACAAGGGTGTGACCTGTGACCACTTGTACGAAATTTTAGTTTCGTACACCTCCCAAAAGGAGGGTGACAGGGTTCAACTCGACATCTGCCCACCACCAAATTGGACCCTTAATTCCCTTATTTGGCAATGGCATGAGCACCCACCAGCGCTTTCGTACAAGGGTCATGTGACGCCGGACAAGTGTGACAGTATTAGGGGAAGAGGGGGAGCACGTGGCTAAACCGTAAATGATTTCAAAACTCCTCAAAATAAACCAAAAATATAAACACGAGAAAATCTTCACCCACCTACGAGTCTTGTACGAATCAGTGGAATATATACAATGTCGCCTCTAACGTTGACTAGGTTCCCCATAGTAATGTACCGGGTACAAAAGTACACATACAAAAGCCAAAAAGGACAACAAAAAAGAAATCTATCCGACCCTCCTTGCCAGTGAATAAAATAGTAGTATGTACAGTACCCTCCTTCCTTCCCTCCCACCAAAAAAAAGAGAATTATCCTGCCCATGCATGCCGTTCTTAAAAATCATCCTCCTCATACTCATTATCACTCAACTCCTCCACAACCTCAGGAACATACTTCCTATTCCCCTTCCTCCTCTCCGGTATTGGCGGTATCTCCGGGTCTACTGGGTTCTGCGCTCGCGGTGGCGGTGGTTTGGTGTCATCTACAAGAGGCGGAGGAGGCGGTCTCGAGCCTGGTGTACCGTGGTTATAAAACATGGATGGTCGCTCTGTGCTCATTACGCGTGCGTATTCTAGGAATAGTCTGTCCAAAATTGAGGTTATGTGAGAAAGAGAAAGAGAAGGAAGAGGGAGGGTAGACAAACCTGAACATATAAGCCGTTAAATCCTCCTTCCTCCAAAACTTTTTACTCCACGCCCGACCTGCATACGCAATCTTACGCGCCATATCGTCATGCGCGTTCGTCCCCGTTGGGTCACCCCTGAAAAAGACGAGCGAGTCGAAGAGGTCCGAGAGGTCGTTTTGCACGGGGACGTAGTGCACCCAGGGTTCTATTCTGTCTGTGAACCTGTAATGGGAGGTCAGAGTATGGAGGGAGGAAAGAAGGAAGGACGGACCATTCGGGGTATATCGTCGATTTGAAGATGAGCGAGTTGGACGTAATAAGTCGTTTAAACCGACTTGACCATCCATTTCCGTCCACCTGCAAAATTCACGTATGAGTGATGGAGGAGGGGAGAGATAAAAAGATGTGAAAGGACACTGACATCAATAATATACTTATACTTCCCAGCAGTCTTCCAATCATGGGGCTTCCTAAACTCAAAAACTCCCTTCAAAAGCTCACACGTCTTGGGCGCACAACTCAACGGCGCATTCGCAAACGCAACATCAAGCATCGACGAACTATATTTCGCCTTCCTCACCGTCACCCCCCCACCCACCGCACGCTTATTATCCTTCGGCGCAGGCAAAACAGTCACATTCTCATGATACGCATTCGTAGCCCACTCCACCAACCGTGAGCGTTGAGAAAGGGGCCAGAGGGTATCTTCATCATGCCATATACCCGTATTCGTCCCGCGCCATTGCAGTCTATCATCGTATTTCTCATCCCACTCCGGATCAAAGCTGCGAGGCAATATGTCTTCCACCCAGTTGATAGGCATGGCAGCCATGATATCATGATGCAACAACGTCGGACAATACGAGAATTGGGGGATCAACACCCGATGGGGAACTGGGCCTATATGGTGGGAGAGGAACTGGCCGTGGTTGACGAGGAGGTCAGGGTGTTGGCATGGGTCCATGGCTTCGCGGTGGTTGTATATGAAGGTCTTTTTTGTACGTGGTGGGGGAGCGGCGTCCCATTTGATGGGGTCTCGCCAGGCGGGGGAAAGGGGGTCGCATGCGGATATCCAGCCGTGGAGTTTATATTCCGGGGGATTGTTGATGTTGATGACTACGTTTTGTGTACGTGTTAGGCTCAAGTTTGGAAGAGAGAAAGGAAGATAGAGAGCGCACATCGTCCAGAAGCAGCCGCATCCAACGCCATCTCCCTCAGCTCATAATCGGTAGGCAAGTTTGGGTTATCATGCGGTGAAAACACAGCGCGGAACGGGGGTATATGCTTTTCTACGTCTTCCAGCAGCTCCATAATTTGAAACGCGCCCTCTGCGAGCTCGTGTTTCACGCCTGCGTTGCCGGGGAGGGTATAGTTCAGCATGACTATCGAGTCGTCTTGAGCATCTTTGCCAACGGTATATGAATCAGCGTGGGCTTCCCAGTCTCGTTGGATCCCTTGTAGGTCTGTGGGGTTCATACCCCAATAAGGCTCCAAATCGTCGTATATCTGGTCATACTCATCGGGTAGCTGAACTTGGTTTTCTTGAACATACGCCCACCTAGTCATGTAGCTTTAGAGATATGCAAGTGATAAACGGGGGAGGAGACATACCATTTATCAAAACCAAGGGGTGGAAGCCTTCGATACCGGCGCTCATACTCACGACAGGCTTCCTCGAGCGTTTTACTAGCCTTGTTCATCTTCGCTTCCCAATTCGCCTCCGCGCGGCTGATGAGCTCGTATATGGGATGAGGGCCGCGCGGGTTGACTTCCAACAAGCCGTCTTTACGATACGTGTGTTTCTCCAGCTTCGGAAGGCTTCCATCTATCTCGTCATCGAGAATTTCGTCCTCGCGAATCCGGGGTGGTCGATCAGGAGCACCCGTCGCGTCGGGTGCGTAGACTGTGCGCGTTATTCGAAGGAATTGGGTACGCGTAACGGTCGTTGCTCGCCCTAGATGTAACTTTGTTGTTCCAGCAGTGGAGGAAAAGGAGGAGTAGAGTGGTGATTGGGGAAAGAAACCGAATTCAGGGGAAAAGCCTAGGAAATAGACGAGGACGCTGAGGAAGGCGACGACGGCGACGGGGCGACGAATCATACGTCGTGGGATGAAGGTGAACATTGCGGGTATCTCAACTCAGAGTTTAAGTAGATGGTGACATGGAGTATGGAGTAATCGCTGGCGAGAAGGTTGAGGGCGGCCGCTTGGCAATGGGAAACTGAAGTACACGTGTGCCTGGTACCTGAGATAATTTATTCATCATTACATACTTCTGGCAAATAAAATTATCGCTCACGCTCATTATTAGCGCTGAGCTTGACGCCGCGAGCCATAGGGCGGTGTATTGGCGGTGCACGTAGTAGTAGCCAGCACTCGAAGAGCAGTCTGCCAGTGACTGCGCTTTCAATTCGTCAAAATTAATTCATTTACCAACTCCTTTTGGCAAGTTGATAAGACCATGGAGAGGAAAATCTTTGGCGACAACCCTATATCCTAATCGGGTCCGAACAACTTCTTGTCACCTGGATACCTTCAGCTTGAACACAAACTAAGTATGTAACTTGTATGTAACAGCTTGCAGAATGTATTTTTGTGCACGAAGATGAGAACTCAAAACCATCCAATAAGATAACGCCCACCACCGGCCTATCATGATCATCACCCTTCTCCCGCTCTCTCCAAACAGTCACATCAACGTCTCGCCGAAGGGGGTATGACGGTACGTTCAATATCGATAGGAAGACTGTCAGCCTGTGGGGGCAGCGGTGCGTATTTTGGATCAAGGCCCAGGACTTGGAGGAACGTATGCCAGGCGTAGAGACGATCGCGCACGCACATGAAAATGGACCTATTACGATTATGTTCGTGCGCTTGAGAGACCACCTAATTACGGGGCCTCTCGGACGGGGTACTGCAAACTAAATGGCATTTAATGCAAAGGGACTGTACACGAATTCGGCACACCTGAAGAAGAATCCATCATACCGGTCGACAAGAGACAACCAGGCTCACGTTCTGTAATTGTGTTCAAGGACGTGTATGAAATCTGCTCCATAAGTCCCATTCCTTTCCTTCCTCCCTCACGCGGCTACGCAGTCACGAACATGTTAGAACTAGAGCTTGTTCGAGAGATTAATCCCGTTTGCTTTCTGTGCCTTCTTACGCAGACGACTCGGAGGAGCACCAGAGCCGCTACCAGCAACATCCCGGCCATCAGACCCCCTTTTCTGTGCAACAATTGCATCACGAGAGACCCAGTTCCGTTCTCGCAACTCAATGATATCCTGAACATTTGGAATTAGTACGGTTGAGAAAATGCTGAAAGTTTGATACTGACCTGCAACATGAACTGCATTCGTAAGCTGACATTCTGGCTCTTGGTAAGCTCCTTTATCCGAGAGAAATAGACGTCCATATGAGCCCGGGCCTTCTGTGTGTCGAGATGGGCGCCGACAGTGGTCAGCAATTTGCACGACCTTTCGATCTCTACCTCCTCTAGATGCTCCACGTTTACGAGCAGTGTCTCGACATAGTTATGCATGATATGTTCAGTCAACATCTGTAGTTTGAAGAGTTCTCCAACGAACTTGATCAGACCGAGACCATGTCGCTTGACCTTCTGTGCAGCGTAGTATTTGTCCGAAAATAGCGCGACTTCCTCAGTTCTACCTTCCTTGTTCTGCTGGTTGGCAGCCTTTGCAACGCCATCCCCGGAAGCTTTGACAGCAGCAGCAGCGGTTGCCTCATTGGCTACCCAACCGCGCTCATAGCCTTCCTGACATCCATTGCACAAGTATTTTCGGAAGAGTTGATCGCCAGCAATGGGATTTCCTTCAGAATTCTTAACACCCTCATCCTGAACTTTGGGGCTGATTCGATTCATCATTTCCCTGCAAAGGCGAGCATACACCTCTGACCAAGTAGCTCCATCGATAGCATGCTCAAAGACGAGTCGAATAATTTGAATGAGAGTCCTTCCGTCCTTCTCCTTCTCCGATTTATTCGCCCAAACGATAACCTGTCCAGAGATAGAATCAAACTTCTCCATAGTCAACTTGTTGAGTAAAGCCTTGACCTTGCGATGTACCATTTCAGGTGAATCAGGATCAATTTGTATCGCCTTCCTGTCCCAACGGTTGGCAGACATCTGAAGAGGTGCGACGGACTTGGGTGCAACGGGCTCAGGTGCAATGGACTCGAGTGCGACGGGCTCAACTGCGACGGGATCGAGTGCGACTGGCGTGATCTTCACATTCTGATCGCTGGATTGGATGTTATTAGAGCCAGATCCGTCACCCTGTTGAACCTTATTCATCTCATTTCGATTCCCTCCGCGCTTGGTTCGAGTACGTTTCTTGGGTGGAGCACCACCAGCACCGTCTTGGTTGGCTGTTTGTTGCATAGGTACGGGTTGATTGTTTGGTAGGCCGGTGGCAGCTTTCACAGGAACCAAACGACTTGTACTATTTGCGAAACGCTCTTCGCTAGTAAGCTTAGAGCTTGATTTGCCGAGACTAGATGAGGGACCAAAACCGAGCCCTACTGACGCTTTCTGTGACGGCGCAGCAGGGCCCGAACCTTGGCGATGGCGCCCTGAACCACCACGAGTCTCCCCAGAGGGGCCTGATACACCGACTCCAAACCAATGATGGGTTCAAGAAGAGAGGGCACATCTGCTTTCTGAGTACAAACTCCCATGAACTGGAGGAGGAAACCGCGATCATATCTGAAAAAGCCGAGGGTTCAGGCGAAGATGATAGACGAACAAGGAAGGTCATACCTGAATCTACCGTCTTTAACATTGGCATTGAGCTTGGGTTTAGGACTCATAACTCCCTCGGGATATTGAACCGTCCTAATATCATCAATATTGCGCGCCGTAGCGAGAGCGGGTAGAGGTGTTCTGGCACCAACATTCTTGATGTTGGTATTGGACAAGTCTAGGTCAATGGGTCGCTTCCGGAGAACAGCTGACGATGAGGTCGAGGACATTTGCGGAGGCATTGATACCAGTTATATTAAGGTACAATGCTGGTCAGATGAGTACTGAAAAAGAGTTGTTGTGTTTTTGGCGTGAATCCCCGGTGTATTGTTCACGCCTGATTCGACGCGGCGGTTTGAGAAGTGGGAGGGGCTGGTCAACAGACGGATGAGGAGAGTGTATCAGTGGGACTTCCAAGGGCTGGCAATGGAAATCACGGCGAGAGGTGTGCGATTTAAAGGTGTTGATTGCGTTTTCGCTTTTTGTGGGCGTTTCGGCTGCCTGGACGAGATTGGTGGGCTTGAGGAACGGTACTTGATGCTGTATGATCACGGTTAGATACCAGAGAATAAGCGCTGGGTAAACGTCATTTTCCTATTGAATCCGGCGCAGTCCTGCCAATAAGGTATTCCAATCGAAAGGTGACAGCATGATAAAGCAACGAAGGTTGTCCAGACCCAAACGTTCGTAAGAGCCTAGGGTAAGTCAGTGGCAAACAAGATAAAGGAATGTTAGTGGTGGTCGATGAACGTCTAGGACAAGATAGAATGTTGTGCTGATGTATTAAAGGGCGAAAGTGAGCAGTCAGGACGAAAAAAGTGAGAAATGGCACACGTTGTGGCTGAGCAGACAGACGAGTTTATCATCTTTTCTCTTCTGTTATGATCCTTGCACAATTATATCTTGCAAAAAAATCGCTCACGCTCGTTAGCGCTGAGCTTGAGGCTGCGGCGAGGCATAGAGTGGTGTACGTAGCAGTGGCACTTGGATGTAACCTTTGAGGAGCACAATATTGATTCGCGCTTACTAGTCTATTATATATGTGACTGCGCTTTCAGCTTGGTATGTAATAATTTAAATATGATGAAAGATTCAAAATATCAAGTGCAATATAACGTTCAGCGCTCGGCCTGAATCAACGCTCCAAAACTAATCTAACCTTGGAACCTTCAGCAATCGATTTCCCAGCTGGCCCAATCTACTTCCAAAATCGACCCAGGTCTTTTTTCCAAT